CCTAATAAAACAATTAGATGATGTCACCTTGGGGACTAAGGTGCACCTGGCCCAAGCCATGGGGTTTTCAATCACCTCACACGCAGGTGAAAGTGGGCAATGGACAAGGAAGACGGAACAAGAGTTGATGCCTTTGAATGATGGTGCTGGCAAAGACTATTCAAAATACCATCAACCACCAGAAGGACAAACAAATGGGTCTTGGAAGAAGTACAGCCAGAATGCGCCTTAAACGCAAGGATGGTGAGACTCCACGCACTTGGGACATGTTCTCAGGAGGGGCCAGACCCTGGAGGAGGGCGACATTTGCCTGGTAAAGCAGATGGGCAGCGAAAACAGAAGACCCTCTGCAGGGTGGATGCCCACGGCGGCTGCAACAATGGGGTCCAGCCTAATGACGCCTGTGGGAGGGCGCAGGGCAGGGCGGCCTTCAGCCGTGCCCTGGAGGCAACTTGCGGGACCCCACCACCATCGCAAACAATCAAGGGTGCCGCAAACAATCAAGGGTGCCTCACCGGGATTTTAAAAAATTTGAAAGCGTAGCAAAACCTTTCCAGAAAGACCCACAGGGACGCAGAGACGGGAAGTGAGCAGGTAGGTAGGCACATGTGGGAAAATGGCACTGACAGACTTGCTGGGCCAGAGGTGACCACAGAGCCTTGCTGCTGAAAAACGCCGCCTCGGTGATGTGCATCGTGGAGTCTGCTGTGGACAAGGACCACTGCTCCCCCAAGCGCCCAATGCTCATGCACGCGCACGCGCACACTGGACGTCGGGGTCGAAGGGCCTGGGTGCAGGGGGCACTGAGACAGTGGCTTCAGGGAGCTACCTCTGGGTGGAACTGCTGCTCCGTGCGCGAGTGGCAGTACTGGCAGTCGTCGCCGCTGTCGCACCGGGAGGGCTCCCCCCACTCATCGCCGTGCTTCACGCTGGGGCAGGGTGTGGACCTGAGGGGCAGCGGCCGTGAGGAGGAGGGTACCCCCTGCCCCTCCAGGGCTCAGCCTGAGTGTCAGGCCCCCTCTTTGGGAGGATGGGCGCCCGACTACGGCTGGGAGTGGTTTGGACTAGTGAGGGGTACCCCAGCCCCATTTTCACTTTGTATGAGATGGAATGTGAGTCTGAGTAGCCCTCACCCCACTCCCCCAACACACAAAACACCCAGTCGAAAAGCAACCTGAACGGAAGTAGGGGAGGGGCGTGGCATGAGGGGTGTGGGGGCGTGGCAGTGTGGGAGGGGTGTGGGTGTGGCTCAGGAGGCGGGGCGTGGAGGTGTGAGATGTGGAAGGGGCGTGTCTGTGTGCCATAGGGGCGTGGCACATGGGCTGTGGTGTGGGAGGGGATATAGGTGTGGCCCGGGAGGCGGGGCATTGGGTGTGGAGTGGAAGGGGCATGTCTGTGTGGCCTGGGGGCTCGGTGTGAGAAGGGATGCGGGTGTGGTCCGGGAGGTGGGGCGTTGGAGGTGTGCGATGTGGAGGGGGCGAGGGGGCGTGGCCTGGGGGCGTGGCGTGGGAGGGGCTCCATGAGGGAGAGGCAGGGATGCACACAAGATGGAGAGGGGATGAGGCTGCCGGGACAAAGCCAAGAAGGAGAGAGACAAGCGGGGAGAAGAGAGTGAGGTGGGGCTGGGAGGGAGACAAGATGGGCCGAGGGAGAAAAAACAGGTGGCGGGGCGTGAGGCTGAAAGGGGTATACGGCAGGGGGAGGCCAGCCTTCGGGAGACTGGGCTGGGAGGGGAGTGAGGATGGGGGGCAGTGATGAGGCCGAAGGGGGCTGGGAGCCTCATCCACCTGGCATCTGTGAGCCAAGGTCCCCTAAGACAGGCAGGCAGACAGTGTGGACTTACCTGTACTGGAACCTGCGCGGGCTCCGCCTGCGGTCGCGCCCGTTGTGGTAGTGGGGGCACGCGTAGCCCTGCCGGCACAGGCGGGGCGGCTTGGGGCACGGCTCCGTCTTGTAGCTGCTCAGCACGAAGTTGGTGTCTGGAAAACAGCCCCCGCCCGCAGCGCTGGCATGTGACCATGCACTTCAGGCCAGAGACCGGGCCAGCCCGCACCCCCAACTCAGCAGTGAGGAGGAGACCCGATTCGTGACCGCACCACCTGCGCCATGGGTGGCCTTCGATGGCGGCAAGCCGAGGGAGAGAAGTCAGCCCAAAGAGATGCCCAGGGGGCCTTCAAAAAGCATTGCCCCATCCCCCCTCTGTTCATTGCGCCTGCCTTCCGGCTTCCTGAAGACCAGTACTACAGGAGAGTAGGTCAAAAAGCAGGGTGGCTGGCAGCACAGTGGTCACTAACCACGAGGTGAGCAGTTTGTAACCACCAGCCACCCTTGGAAGAAAGCTTTGCTTTCCACTCCTGCAGAGCCGCAGTCTCAGAGCCCCAGGGGCAATTCTCCCCTGCCCTGAAGGGCTGCTGAGAGTCGGCAGTGGACTCGCTGACAGTGAGTGTGCTTGGAAGTCAAAAAACAGTGTGGACTCGCTGACAGTGAGTGTGCTTGGAAGTCAAAAAAAGACTGCCCCCATGGGGGGTCTCCATGTACGCGTGCAAGCCCGCGCACACATACAGGCTGGCTCTACACGAGGCAGGTTCAAACCTGCAGTCAGTCAGGGGGAGGCAGCCGACTAGCTCTCTTGGGGTGCGCGCTTGCCTTAGTCTGTCAGGGCTCCGTCAGTGAAGACGGGCCCATTGAAGCCATGGCTTTGAGGCTTCCACGGGGCCAGTCAGATGCAAGGCAGGGAGGTCAGCTCCAATGCTCATGGCCACTCTGGGGGATTCCAAAGAGGTCTTCTGATAGGTTTTCACACTTGAGCTTAGCCAAAAGGCCTAGAGGCAATCCTGATAGATTTTCTTGAAGGTCACAGGCTGATCACAGGGCTTGTGACGAAGACGACGTTTTCAGAAACATGTCAGATTATGTTGTGAGATACGGGAAACGACACTGAGGGGCTTTTTTTTTCTTTTTCTTTTCTCTTTCTTTCCCATCACAGCCTCCTTCAGAGGTAGGAAGGGTGGGCTCTCAAGCAATACACTAGGAAACCTTCACCCATGCACCCAACACCACCTATCCCACAACGCCTACCCTACAACACCCACCCTACTACAGAACCACCCTACAGCACCCACACTTCAACACCCACCCCACACACCCCACAACACCCCCCTTACCACACCCACCCTCCAACAGCTCTGAGCATGGCCCTGCACAAACAGACTGTCTTGGAAGAAGTAAGGTCACAGTGCTCCTTGGAGGCAAGGAGGGCGAGACTTCCTCTCACACGCTTTGCACGTGTTGTTGGGAGGGACGGTCCCTGGAGAAGGGCAGCGTGCGGGGTTAAGCAGAGGGGCGGTGAACAGGAAGGCGGAAGGCGCTCAAGGAGGCAGACGGACACACGGCTGTAACCATGGGCTCATAAGAACCATTGTGAGGACGGCGCAGGGCGGGGCAGTGTTTCTGTTGTCCGCTCGGCCGCTATGAGTTGGAACCGACTTGATGGCATCTCACCACATGGAAAGGGACACGATTTGAGCCCCTCACGGGTGCCAACACTGCCATTTGGACGCGGTGGAAACGGAAGAGCACGGGGCAGAGTACAGACTTGGAGGGAGGATGTGTGCAGCAGCTGATGAACCCCTGTATCTATGCCCTTTCTGCATATTTGAGTGCCCTAGTTTGAGCTGCTTCATTTCATAGCATCTGGAATTGCAAAGATTCTGAAGGGGAAAAGCATACTTTCGTTAAAACTTTCCAGTCTGCTGGGATTCAATAATTCATATTGGCTATATTTTTGACCATGCTAATTACAAATGGTGAATTTGGGCCATAACTAGCTACTGCTTGCTTAAGATCTTTCAGCAGCTTGAAGGGAAAAGCAGCATAACGCCATTCTTGATTCCCTTCAGGATGCTGATCATCAAGCTCTTTGTTTATAATTTTAACGGGATAAGCTATTTTGAATTTTAAATCTGCTTTGTGAGCTATACTTTTCTCCATCCTTGACATCAAAGGTGCTTTTCTGTTCCCTAACTCTTTGCTTTTTACTTTCTTAGCTTTATTTTCTGGTTTAAATATTTTTATTTGCATTTTTTTGGATTTAGCCTATTCTCCTCCAGCACTGGTTTGCTTGATAGTATTGTGATTCCCCAGGCTATATACTGGTGGGGCAGATGGTTCTACTCTGCTACCTTCTGATTCAAACTTCGCCTTCTCAACTACACCTAGAATGTTTTCATTTGATTGAAGTTCGTTTTGATTTCTTTTTATCTGACTTAAATCTGAGTAGCTTAGAAGTTTCTTTCTGTTCTGCTGGTCTTGCTTCTTAGCTTTTTTACCCTGCAGCCGCTCCAACACTGCTTTAATTTGCACCCACAGCTCCTAGGCCTCTATGGGTATGCTCTGTTCTTCCCTGTGAGCTTTTTTTAAGTTAATGATTACCTTATTCCAGATTTCCATATTAAAGGTTTTTGACTTCAGAAAAGAAGGATAAAATTTCTTTACCACTTGAAGAAACTCTTTTATTTTTTTATTTGTTACCACTACGTTTTGTTTCTTCAAGAGGTGGCAAAGAGTGATAATGTACTCCGTACTTTTACTCTTTACCTGACCCATATCTCACTCAGACTAAAAATTTACACTTAAAAAATAAGTTCAAAAACTTTTCCCGATTTACCCTCACAGTCCGATGAGGCCGTACAATTGTTACACGGGATATACCTCAGAAGAATTCTTTTCTTACCAAGCCCCACGTAATGGGCGCCATATGCCAGAAGAAGCCAGCTCCTAGCACAATCACTACGGGTTTGGTAGGCGCAATTGTACAGCGATAATAAGTAAATATTA